GACACATGGTGGTCTCCCTTGGAGTGCATCCCCTGATGTTGAGTTGAGACAAGGACATCATCTACCCAGAGCTGGCACAAGGGAGAAAGCCTTCTCCTAAAACTGGTCCCTGAAATCAGCCTTCTAACCTGCTTAAGTGTAAGCAAATAAATTTCTGGTTGTTAAAGTTATTTACTTGTAGTATGTCTGTTAGAGCAGCAATAAATAACCAAGAAAGAATTTGTTACCCAGAAAAGGATATTGCTCTGCAGACAACTAAAATGTGGAAGGAGTTTTGGTATTAGTTAATGAGTTGGTGCTGGTGGCCTGTGGTAGGACTGCACTGCAATCCCAAATGCACATAGTTCGAATCTGCAAGCTGCTTTGCAGAAGGATGGTTAGTCTCCTCTCATGCAATTACGAGCCTTTGAAAACCTGCTGGAGGGTCAGCTATGGGTCAGGAACGCTGACAACCTAAAGGAATACAGTTAGAATCCACCAGCTGCTCCATAGGAGAAATATGAGTAATCCCCTCCTATGCAAATTATTGCCTCTAAAAATCTGCTCAAGGGTCAGCTATGAATTGGCTCCTATCCACAGTATTGAATAATAAACAGTGGCTTAGTGGTAAGGGGTTGGTCTATCAATCCAAAAGCACATGGTTAAAATCCGCCAGCTGAAGGGAGCTCTGATGGCCTAGTGGCAAGACGCTGCACTGCAATCCCAGAGGTATGCAGTTCAAATCCACCAGATGCTCTGCTGGAGAAGGAGGGGGCAGTCTCCTCCTGTACCAGTCAGATCTGATTTGACAGTACACGTAAAAATAATACAATAAAAAAAAATTTTTAAAAAGCCACCAGCTGCTTCATAGAGAAAAGATAAGCATTCTCCTCCTGTGTGATTTACTGCCTCTGAAAACCTGCTGGAGGGTCAGCTATGAATCATTTCCAACTCAGCCGTACATGACGACAGGGCAGTTTTTATGAAGGCTTGGAAGGAAGTTAGAAGGGTTGTAATACTAGTGATTCCACAGATGAAGCATTAGTAGGAAATGGCCAACCTGTGGAGTACAAGAGCAGAGTACCTTTGACCTAGAGTCTAACAGTGTCAGGTGCTTCTGAGCACCTGTTAACAGATGTACATACTCAGCACAAGAGCTTAGTGGAATCAGGCTGAGGCTTACTGGTGGAGTGGGATGCATCCAGACATTTATTGGTAGAACTAAAAAGCTTTGAAACACTTGGCTGAGCAGGGCAGAGGCCAGGCCATCCCATGATGCCCAAGGGAGTGAGAAACCAAGGAAGCAGAGGCTAAAGAGACAAGAAACACAGGATGCAGAGCTACGTTAGTCTCAAAAGAGTAGAGCCGTAATCTCCAGATCTCAGGGGTGAGACTCTGATCTAGGTTTTAGGGCTGCCGACAAATCCGCTGCCCAAAGCTGAAGAGGCCAGGCTTCCAGGTCAGAGGGGCAAAAGAAAGGGTGTGGGGTTGCCACTCAAAGGAGCCCAGGTTGAGGGAGCAGAGTGTGCACTATGGACCTGGAAGGTGGGACTGAAGCCTAGGGCCATGAGGGGCCTCCACTCAGAATCTAGAGAACATGACCAGCACACACAGTCTAGAGGGCTGAGCTACTTCCTAGATGATACCAAAGAAAAGAGGATTCTTCTCAAGCCTTCAGAGTGGATTGTTCTGTTCAGTTTCTTTCTTGTTTGGTGCGTGCTTTTCTTTCCTGCTACTTTTTCCTGTTTGTAATGGAAATGGCTGCCTTGTGTCTACTCCATCATTGTACTTTAAAAACAGATAATTTGAATTCTAGATTTCGCAAGTTGACAGATGAAGAGGAATTTTGCTCTGTAGTGGAATTTTAATTTAGAGCTGGTTTGATTTAAGACTTTGGGGATGATACAGTGGTGTGAATGTGTTTTGCATGTGGCAAGAATTGGGGCGGGCAGATGGGGGAAAAGTGTGGAATGTCATTAATTGATTGGCATCCTCTGAAAATATGGATTCTGCCAATGTGGCTGGGCCCTGCATCTCAATGATTTGGCAGTTATATTATGATGTTATTTGGCAGTTAGATAATAACCTTACCAGTGCCTGTGATGTGGTCTAGTTGGTTTAAGGTGGGATGCAACACCCTTGCTCAGGTCACAGCCCTGACCCAATGAAACAGTTTTTGGGGGAGGTATGACCTGCTTCATTTTTGATAAGTGATAAAAAGAGAAGACCTACAACTACCAAGAAGAACCAAAAAGGAAGTGCGCCCTTTGGACACTGGGTCCCTACGTTAAGAACCTCCTACACTCAGGACATGGACAGCGCTAAGGAATGCCAGGCCCATAGATCTTGAAAGGAGTTAAGAGCTTCCCCAGAAGTAGCAAGAGCAAAAATTTCCCCTTGAGCTAGTGCCCTTCATTTAGACCTCGAACAGCCTAAGCTATGAGAACACATTTCTGTTTGTTAAAGCCACCCACTGAGGGTATTCTGTTACAACAGCACCAGATAACCAGGACAGATCAATTTAGTAGTTTATTATGTTCTTTTTAATGTATTTTCTAAATTGTCTTGAGTAGAAGAAACTTAAGTCTTAGATTTGTTTCTCTTTGCATTTGGTAGCTGTCAAACAGAAAACAGTCACTGTCTCCTAGACTTGTCTTTTAAAACTAATGAAAAGGAGTTAATCCCCTTGTAAATTGCTTTGGTAACCTGCTTCTCTCACAGAATATGCAAATTAAGGAGTGACAAAGGCATTTGAAAGCATAGGCATTTTCTTACTTCATCTGTCTCTTGAGCTGAGCAGTTTGGCATCTTAAAAAAGTATTTGTAACTCCCATTCAACGCAAGGGCTTATTGGCGTCCAGGGAAGAAATAGCAATGGAAATACATTTGTTAGGTATTTATTATGATTAAGATAACATAATATATGAAAGTTCCCATTCTTAATTACCTACTCAAACTCATTACTACCCTGGGCAAGTAAGTATTTATAAAGTTAATTTTATGATTTTGCAACTTTGATGTGCAGAATTCATTTCTTCCTTTATGCATGCTTCTGCCTTACAAAAGAATGAAGCTTTTGCTTTAGCTTTTCAAATATCTTTTATTGGTCTAAATGTTCTTTTTCTTCTCCTCTAAAATGTGAGAAGATTGCTGATGCTTGAATGTCCTATGTGAAATGTTTATGCATCATCAAAATCTTAAAGTATGTGAAGATTAGATTTGAGGGGAAATTACTAAATTTCCGTTTGTTTGTTGGTATTAGATGTCATCAAGTCGAGTATGATTCATAGTGACCCTATGAACAAAAGATCTGTTCTACCCTGAGCTATCCTCACACTTCCTGACAACAGGAGATTTCTGGTTAGAACTTTAAAAACATTTTTATTTAACCTGTCATTTATAAATCCTTTTAACTATTGGATGCTTGGTATGTGTTGAGCTGCTAATGGAAAAGTCAGCAGTTCAAGTCCATCAGCTGCTCCATTGGAGAAAGATGAGCAATCTCTTCCCATAAAGATTTACAGTCTTGCCACTCCATGGCTGTACATGTATTTTGGGAATGTGTGTGTGTGTGTGAGAGAGAGCACGAGAGAGAGCACACTTGCCTTTTTCTTTTGAGGCATATATGTGTCTGTGTCTGTGAACATATATATGTCAGTATATATTCTCATCTCTCCACAAACTACCAGAGCTCCCTATAGAGATCTCAAGTTCTTAGATCATGACTTTTTTTTAAATAGTCAGTCTTTAAGATTTTCAAAATGTGTATCTCTCTATCATGTCATCTCTGTGACAGGTGATTCCAGAAAAGATAATTTTTTTCTGCCTTTTGACCATTGTTCTTTCCATGTTTATTTTGTATAATCAATTTTTAATTAATTGTTTTTCATTTCAATGAACATCTACAGAGATTTTGGAATTCCATTCATTCATTGTTGCACTTTTCTCCCCGTCCACCCCACCTCCACACACACACACACACCACCCCCTGTTTGCTCCTCTCCTTGAAAAGCAAAAGAAAAACTCCTTCATTGGTACACAGTGCCCCAGCACACCCCCCAATCCCACCCTCACCCCAAATATAATCCACTCTGCAGCCCTCATTCTGTACTCTTATAATAAACATAATGCCCTAAAATATAATAATTTTAAACTATTCTCTCCCTCATAGACTTCAATGCAGTAAACATAATTTATCCAGTTTTTCTCAGTCTTACCCCCACCCCAATATCAGGGTCATTCTACAACAGTGGCACCATATAGTATTTTGTCCCTTTGTGACTGAGATATTTCACTCAGCATCATGTCCTCCAGGGTCACCATTTTGAATAATATTGCATAAGTTCCTTGTTTTTCAATGCAGCATAGTATTCCATTGTAAAAAAGATTATTAATAAATTGTTTCTTTGTATATTTTAGTCTTCTGAATATCATGAGTTGAGCATTTTTTTTTATTGTTGTGCAACTCATTTTTATCAAGTCAGAAATGGCTCCTAACTGACCCTCTTGCAGGTTTCCAGAGACTGTAAATTACATGGGAGGTTTGCCCAGCTTTCATCCTTGGAGCAGCTGGTAGCTTCAAACCACCTGTCTTTAGGTTGGCAGTGCAGCTCCTTACCCAGTATGTTTAAACCTTTCAAACAATGATATTTTAAGCCACATAATGGTGTTTCTTTCTTCTCCCTTCACAGCTACGTTTAACTCTCCTTGCATGTCTTAAACTCTTAAGATTAGTACCAATTTGTTGTTACACTTTAGCTATCCTTGTAGCAATCTGAAAAAGAAATGGGCAGGCAACAGATAGCAAATGAAGCTCAGCTTACACTGAATGCTCCCATCCCATCACAAGGACCAGATGCACTCTTTTAGAGTGTGTCTCTTTTTTTAACGTTATTAAGCTAATGACATTTTGATCAACCTGTTTTGCAAATAGTAATCCTAACACTCCTTTCTCTTAAAAGGCAAGTTAGAATTTTAAAAATAAGTAAGTTGACTTGGGGAAAAGAAGGGAGTCATTCAGCATCACAAATTGCCGTTTATCTAGGTAACACTATTTTACTTCTTATTTCTGCATTGATTTGGTAATGTAAATGTGCTTAGAACTAATAAAAATATGCAGTTGGTGAGAATTAATGCATGACTGATCAGCAGAGTGGAATGTAAGCATGTGCCATGAAATTGCAATTCTCCTGTCCTTTATTTTCCATCTTTTACATTCAGATTCCATTTAGAATATAGTTCATTTTTATTTCTTTGTTTCCCAGATTGGCCAAAATGGGAAGGACTAGATTCCACTCTCTTCCACAAAGACTAAATGGAACTGGCTGAGATGAAAGTCTGAAACGTTGTCCACCTGTCATCAGGTAAGCATTAAGCCGAAATCACTACAGTTCTGGGTTCATGCCTTTTTTTCCCCAAGTATTTGATTGATATGCATGTTAGAAACGTACTCTTTTATTAGATGTTGACTCTAAACTTTATATTTATCATACAGTTTTTAAAAGTCTATAATAACTAATTTGAGTTTTGTAACCTAAAAAATATTATTAGCCATGAAAAAATTTCAGCTGGTCTTAAAAAAGTGTAATATTTGAAAATCAGTGCAATTCTTCATTGCTCAGTATGTACACCTAAGGTAAAAGAATTAATTAGCTATTCTATATTGAGTATTACCAACTTTGATGTAATTGAATGTTTGTATATTGTTTCATGGTACAATTTTATTACACTTGTATCAACAACCTAAAAGTCATCTTTTCTTCAACTAGAGTTCTCTGCCTTTTGTGATTAGCTCTTGTAACACAATAATGACAAAAATGACCAGTCTTTGAAATATTTTCAGATACTAGTTTTACATGGATTTAAAAACTGTGTTTTGTTTTTATTTTTGCAATTGACAAATCTATCAACTTGTTGACCACAATAAATAGATGAATAACAGACTCTGGTAGGAAATCATACAGTCAAAATTAACTTTCCCCCTACCTTGATAGAATAGCAGATAACTAGATATTCCTGAAGGGAGAGAATAGTTGTGTTAGTGTCGCTAGAGAGGGAGTGGCTAGACAATTTTGATAGCACGAAGGACATACTTTTCCCTGCCAACTGAAGAAAGCATCATTGAAACCACTAGTGATTCGCATTTCCATTTGCTTTATTTACTCTTTTAATCTAATGAGTAGATAATCATCCTAATTTGCCTGTTTAGTGATAACGTTTACATAGTTATCATGAAACCAAATACAATGGATGATCTCTTGTAATATACACTTTACGAAAAAAATTATATAATTTCGAGAGTTAGGGTGCTGTCGTTAGTTGCCATGAATTCATGGCAGTCTCATGTATTCAGACTAGAACAGCTCCATGGGGTTTTCGAGGCTGTGACCTATCAGAAATTGATTACCAGGCCTGTCATCTGAGGTTCACTGGTGGGTTCTAACCACAAATCTTTCAGTTAATAATGTAGCACTTTTAGACCCTTGCAGATGTTTATATCTGTGAAAGTATAATATGCAGATCTGTGAAGGCAAATGTCAGTCTGATGTAAACCACAAGCAATATCAGAAGCTGGTTTTCCTTTTTTTTTCTAAATACATGTAATATGATGAAAAAGCTTATTGGTTTTCCATTAGTTGGTACCAGTTGTCAATCTCAAAATCCCATCTTAAAGAGGTTGTAGCATTTCTGTGGTCTCTTCTGTGGTGCATCACAGACCACCATGCAAGGAGCCCTAGTGACATAGCCCTTATGACGGCATACTGCAGACCAGAGGCAGCCCCCCTTGGGCAGTTTGAACCCACCAGCAGCTCCACAGGACAAAGATGGGTCTCCTCCTTTCTGTGTTTCTAGTCTCTGGATTAAAACCCACCACAGGATTAGCTGAGAGTTGGTTCTGAGTCAACAACAATGAGAAGATGAAACGAACATTCACAAATATTGCAGTCTTTTATTTTTATATCAGTTGAGTCTTTGGGGAGTTTGGTTTTTGTATTGTTAGAAATAAAGTTGACAAAATTTACAGTCTCAACTTAAGAATTTTTAAAGAGTTCAAGTCAGATTTTTTTTTAGTTTTTGTTTTTTATAAAACATCCTATTTCCTGTCCATCTCCTCTTTTTCACAGCACTGATAATGAATATAAACTTGACACACCTTTTTACCAATCAGAAACACTCTATAATTATGTGTTCTTGCACAGATACTGTGCTGTAAGCCACACAGTTGAAGTGCAACATATGGGTCATAAGCGAGTGAGAACCTTGATCACCTCCTCTCTTGAGGGAGATCTCATGGCTCAAGTCATATTGGTCTCAGTGGACATAGTCCTCTCTGTACCTTGAAAAATGTCGAGGAAAATTATTTTAAGCAAATCCTTGCTCCAGAATGACAAAGCGTCATGATCCTCACCTAATACAACAGAATGTAAGGTTTTACTATTTCAAGAGTCCATGTTTCTTACAAGGATAAACTCTTCTATAGTTGTACTCAGAAAGCCCTGTGGTGTGGATGTGGTGACACTGTATAAAGAGTAAACGTTCCCATTGCGTGGTGTTTTCCACTCTTTCAGGTCTCTAGTATTAATGTGTTAAGAACATCTCCCTTGCACTAACTAATCAGTTCACAAGGTGCCTGAAAGAGTTTTCACTTGCTTATCTTTCTTTTCTCATAGTGCAGAATGACTGGAACTGACATACATGAAATTAAATTCTTTTAGACATTATATTATTTATGGAGATTGTTTTTTGGTCTTTGTCAGATTTGTTTTCTTATCCCTTGTGAAGACTGAAGCTGAATTAAGCCACTTTGAGTGTTGTGTTTAATGTTTCCTGTGTGTTCCCCAAATTGTTACTACTACCTCAAAGGACAGCGTCATTAGCTACCATTCCAGGTTGTGTGCGGACTGTTCATCCTGAGCAATGCTTTTATGTGTGTTTTGACAAGTATAAAGAAGCCTACAGATATTACATTAGACCAGCTGAATCAGTTTTATGGTCTTTTTTTTTTTATTTCAAAAAAGCATCACATAGAAAGTAACATTTTTTTAAAAATTTAGTTGCAAACTAGTTGTTTCTTATTTTTTTTTCCAGTCCCTTTTTGCTTTCTTTTACGACCACATGAAACTTGAGAAGCCACCCAAAGCTAACTCATTTAGTGGAGTTGGGCAGTTCCCAAGTGTCCAACAAGAAGGCCTGGTTTAGGCTGCGATGGCCACTGTCATTCCTGGTGACTTGTCAGAAGTGAAAGATACCCAGAAAGTCCCTTCAGGGAAACGTAAGCGTGGTGAAACCAAACCAAGAAAAAACTTCCCTTGCCAACTGTGTGACAAGGCCTTTAACAGTGTTGAGAAATTAAAGGTCCACTCGTACTCTCACACAGGAGAGAGGCCCTACAAGTGCGTGCAACAGGACTGCACCAAGGCCTTTGTTTCTAAGTACAAATTACAAAGGTACTAAACTCTATTTGTCTTTCAGATTATATTTTCTATTATGCTGGCCATTTTAAACCATTGTAAACGTATATATATTTGTATACACTTTTAAAAAATTGATTTGCAGAAAAGAAATGTTAAGTAGTTGTACATTGACTAGTTTTTATTATTCTAAACCACCTACTTTTGTATGTTAGTTTCTTTGCATTTTTTTTAAGTAAATGCTTAATAAGAATAGAATTTCCATTTGTACCAAGAATTTGCTACCAGAAAAGCATAGGGACTGAGAATTTGTGGTTATGGACATTTGCGTGAGTATATTCAGTCTTGCACGTTTGCCTCTGTAGTGCTAGCTAAAAATAGGCACAAAGTAAAGTGGCAGCTGAAATGGCTCAGGTTCTGCAATGTTTAGGTATACTTACAATCCTTGTGGTGTATTGTAAGTTTCAAAGTTTCCACTGTGTTCTAGCATAGTTTAGCTTCCAGTTGAAAAGTATATACATAGCCCTATTTGTCATTCTAATTACTTACAGAATATATCTATGTTTAAAGGCACATGGCTACTCATTCTCCTGAGAAAACGCACAAGTGTAATTATTGTGAGAAAATGTTTCACCGAAAAGATCACCTGAAGAATCACCTACATACACACGACCCTAACAAAGAGACATTTAAGTGTGAAGAATGTGGCAAGAACTACAATACCAAGCTTGGGTTTAAGCGTCACTTGGCCTTGCATGCTGCCACCAGTGGGGACCTCACGTGCAAGGTGTGTCTGCAGACATTTGAAAGTACAGGAGTGCTTCTGGAGCACCTTAAGTCTCATGCAGGCAAGTCGTCTGGAGGGGTGAAAGAAAAGAAGCACCAGTGTGAGCATTGTGACCGGCGGTTTTACACCCGAAAGGATGTCCGTCGGCATATGGTAGTGCATACTGGAAGAAAGGACTTCCTCTGTCAGTACTGTGCACAGAGATTTGGACGGAAGGACCACCTGACTCGGCATATGAAAAAGAGTCACAACCAAGAACTCCTGAAAGTCAAAACAGAGCCCATGGATTTTCTGGACCCATTTACTTGTAATGTTTCTGTGCCTATAAAAGATGAGCTACTTCCAGTGATGTCCTTACCTTCCAGTGAACTGTTATCAAAGCCATTCACAAACACTTTGCAGTTAAACCTCTACAACTCTCCATTTCAGTCCATGCAGAATTCTGGATCTGCCCACCAAATGATCACAACTTTACCTTTGGGGATGACATGCCCAATAGACATGGATGCTGTTCATCCTTCTCACCACCTTTCATTCAAATATCCCTTCAGTTCTACCTCATACGCAATTTCTATTCCTGAAAAAGAACAGCCATTAAAGGGAGAAATTGAGAGCTATCTGATGGAGTTACAAGGTGGCATGCCCTCTTCATCCCAGGATTCCCAAGCATCATCATCTAAACTTGGGCTGGATCCTCAAATTGGGCCCCTCGATGATGGCTCGGGGGAGCTCTCCCTGTCTAAAAGCTCCATTTCTATTAGTGATCCCCTCAACACACCGGCGTTGGATTTTTCCCAGCTGTTTAATTTCATACCATTAAATGGTCCGCCCTATAATCCTATATCAGTAGGGAGCCTTGGAATGAGCTATTCCCAGGAGGAAGCACATTCATCTGTGTCCCAGATGCCCCCACAAACACAAGATGTGCCAGATCCGGCCAACTCTATAGGTCTCGGGTCTCTACACTCTCTGTCTGCAGCCTTTACTAGTAGCTTAAGCACAAGCACTACCCTGCCACGTTTCCATCAAGCTTTCCAGTAGGACCCGCTTGCGGATTTATCCATAAGTATATGTGTTGTCCTACCTTAGATAACATTTTATTTTAGTGCCTATTTTGAGACAATACAAAAATTTCTGGTTTTGTATAGTACCAATTTTCATTAAGGCAGTATGAGACAGAACCTAGCTTTTAAAATGCTCTTCAGAACCATTTGTGTTAAGTTATATTTACCTGGATATATTGCCCCAGTTCACTGCCAATTGTCATATTTTTTTCATATAGTAAAGCCATTCTTATTAGAAAATTTTACAAGTCCCATATTTAGTGTAGACCTTAAGATTTTTATTTTTGTCCAAGAACAATGGCTCTGCCTTTTGACTTTTGGCTCATTTAAAATGTTGCTAAAGGATGTAAACTTTCTAGAATTAATGTGAATAACCAGAGAATTTTTAATTTTTTTACGAGTCTCTAAATTGATTCATAATGAGGTCTTTCAAATTAAATAAGAATCCAGTTGATGAGAGGACAAATTATCTTAAGTATGTCATAATTTCGGGTGAGTGTACTTGGAAAACTTGCTGTTGTCTGGATCACATCTATTTAACATCTTTACCATAAGGACACAAGGAAAAACAAACTGAAACACAAAGCATGAGAATTTATAGGAAGAAACAATTAGGCTTCTAGAAAGGTGACATGGCATTCCATGTTTCTTAACAGTTGACCTTAAATTAGTACGCAGTGTATTTTTCCCACGTGTCAGCCTTCTTTACTGTTGTTTTTACATTTAATACATTAATAGTATATTGCATCAGGGGTCTTCAAAGTCAATATGTAGCTCTCTCTAATCTTTTCCACCTTCTAAGTCAAAGCGTTGGTCAAGTACAAACATAAACTTTAGATTTGGCTATTGGTCCACAGTCAGGAATCTTAAGAGCCAGTATAGTTGGAACAAAAAGGGTTGAGGGTCTCTGCTTACATCGTGTGGGGGCACCCAAACAGTAAGATAGGTATGAATCACACAGTTACAGTTTCACGACCTTTTAGGAATGTCTCCTGCCATCAAGTCTGAAAGTCAGGTTCTTTAGAGAAAAAGTAAAAGTATATTGCTTACATTGCTTCCTGCTGAATCCAGTACATTGTCCTCTCCTGCAAAGCAAAGCAAAACAACAAAAACCACAGCCCACTCCATGGTGTCTTTCTAATTCACTTATTAATTCATCTCCTATTGTATTTAGGGGATGGCGAACTTAAATAAATATGTTAGGAGACTATTTGAAGAATTACCACAAAGACTTAATTGATTTAAATATAGATATATAATATATGTGTGTGTGTTTGTGTATATATAATATATATATATTATATTTTATATATATATATTTATACACACACATAGTAAAACCCCACTTTTACATGTCTGAGAAATGGAGGAAATGTAAATAAGTTTCATTTGTATGGGGGAATAAAGTAAAATAAAACAAGCAATATCTTAGTAAGTATAAAAAAACAGTCAAGAATACATTTTTCACTAAATAAAATGGTTACGAAGGGATTTCCTCATGTTAGACAAGCACCATGAGCTTCTCAAAGGTCAGAGTACTACCACTTTTCGAAGTATGATTAGGGGCATCAACCTAAGAAAGCATCTATGAAGCACTTATTAACACCTTATTTTAGGACCCTGTCTTTCAGGGTAGGGCTGGGGAGAAAGTATATGAGAGTATATGGCTCTTTAAAAAAGAAAACGAAAAAGATGTTTGAGCACTCATTAACCCTATGTGGAAATGGGTTGTTGTTGGGTGGTTGTTTGTATCTTTTATAGGGCCAGTTATCCCTGCAGACTGAGATGTTTACCAAGAATTTCCAAAAATGAGTGCATATTACTGATTATAATACATTATTTAAAAGATGTGGGGATAGTGTAATTTGTGGGTAAAATGTAAATTGTAATAATGTAAAGGGGGATTCACTTTATATAGTATACACACACACAAAAAAAGTATCGCACTTCATAGAATCAGAATTTCTCTCTTAAGGAGGTTTGACTCCTGATATTTTATCATGCTCCTATTATTTTTTTTTTAATCTTAGGAGCAGTAGTTTTTATACTTAAGTATTTAAATTTTATTATGAGAAATTACATTTATAAAGAAAATTGTGTTCCAAAGGCATTAAGATTATATATATTAATAAGGAAATACATTTTTAAACCTTCAAACTGCTCCTAAGCTTTTGGTTAGGAGAATGTTTGCTCTGAAAGTAGACATTTAGCTCTGCTTCATTTCAGCTTCTTTTAGTTTCTATGAAACAGATTGCTTACCTAAATCTTTAGTTGAATGATTGGTGTTCAATATTGCTTTAATCACCATTCAAAAAGAAGATAAAAGAAATTTGTTGTCAGAGCACAAATATATAGGAAGTCTATTTTTAAAAATGTTTTAAAATAAAGCAAGTATGGAAGACACTGCTTTATTCTGTCTAAAATTTGCTTAAACTGAAAACAAAATAATGAATTCTGAGACATTGGCCTTCGTAGGCTGTATTTCACTGCTAATTTTTTTTTTTAAGTACCAAGATAAATAAAGGATTTTGGAAATGGGGGATGGTGGAAAAAATATATATATATATGGGGTTTTTTTAAGCCTAATTCTCACCCTGAATGGAATAAAATACTTGGAGGCACATCATATTCAGGGCATCAGTGTTAAAATTCTAGAGTCTTAATTTTCATACATACACCTCTTTGCCTGTTGCTGCCCCACTGACTTGAAATAACACTTCAAAATAAGAATGAACTGAGCTAATTTGTTTTTTAAATTGACTGTAGTGGTCACTAAACTGAACCTTTTTGTTGTTGTTGTTTTAAGAATCTATTAAAGATGAGGCTGACTCGTTTCTTTTAATTGCACAACGTAACAAGGAATCTGCTCTTTTTATCCCCTTCTCCCTCCACCTCAAAAAAGACTTATCATTTGTTATGTCAACTAGATGTAACTAAAAATTATATTGCCAATGCTGTTTTCTTTCTCCAGTGGCCAGCATCATTATCCTTGAAATTTCTGGTAGTGCCTTAGCTTGTTTGGAAAAAAATTAATAAGTTGAGGGTAGAGAAATTATAATCAATAAAGCAATTAGAATTTGGACCCCAGACAAGATATTGAACCTCATTCAGTTTGAACTTCCACCTGTGTGTCCACAGTAGGTCAGCAGACACAGAAGTATGCATGTGGAAGACTCTTGGCACAGTAAGCAATATTAATAATTCATATATACACATATTATATTAATAGTTACTGGTCACTGTTCAACTTTCACTTTAAAATCTTACTACCAAGTTCCATTTTTTCACTTCAAACTTCAGTTGCCCTAGCCGATCGATCATATACCGCTCTATGTGCAACGTTTAAATTTCATTTACTGTTTCTTCAATCTATGTATTTTTTTTTGCTTATTTTTGCTTTTGCTTTATTATCTTAGGCATTTGTGGGATATAGTGATATATTGTGTTAATTTGGACAGTAGCGGTTTTTAAAAACCATATACTGACTGAAACATGAGCCAGAGCTGATTGCTTTATTAAGCTAATAATGAATGTTAAAGAATACATATTTTCAGGATCATTCATCTAGTAAGCAATACACATATTATAGGCCAATTTTTTAATAGAGCTTGGTCAACCTCTATATTACACATATTACAAGATATAGCACTTTCAAAATGAATCTAAACCTTTACAGAAATTTTTCTTATAGGTTATGCCTTTTATTTTAAGACTTATAATTTGTTTCAAGTGCCATTAGAATAT